CAGCCATTCCCTGACCAAAACCCCTTCGCATGTCAATTGAATTTCAAGAGACCAGGGCCTGAGTTCTGAATTCTAAGGACTGAGTTCTGAGGGTTGAGTTTTGAGTTCTGAGTTCCGAGGGCTGATTTCAGACTTCTAAGGGCTGATTTTGGAGTTCTGAGGGCTGACTTTGGAGTTCTGAGGGCTGACTTTGGAGTTCTGAGGGTTGAGTTTCGAGTTCTGACCACTGATTTCGTAGTTCTGAGGGCTGGCTTTGGGAGCTCTGAGTTCCGAAGGCTGCGTTTCGAGTTCTAGGGGCTGATTCGGGAGTTCTAAGGTTTGAGTTTTGAGTTTTAGGGGCTGATTTTGGAGTTCTGAGGACTGAGTTTCAAGTTCCAATGTTCGATTACATAGTTCTGAGGGCTGATTCGGGAGCTTTTGATTCCGAAGGCTGTGTTTCAAGTTCTGGGGGCTGATTTGGGAGTTCTAAGGTTCGAGTTTGGAGTTTTTGGGGGCTGATTCCAGAGTTCTGAGGATTGAGTTTCAAGTTCCGATGTTATATTTCGTAGTTCTGAGGGATGATTTTGGAGTTTTTTGTTTTGAATGCTGCGTTTCGAGTTCTGGGGCTGATTAGGGAGTTCTAAGATTTGAGTTTTGAGTTTTAGGGGCTGATTTCGGAGTTCTGAGGACTGAGTTTTGAGCTCCGATGTTTGATTCCGGAGTTGTGAGGGCTGAATTGGGAGCTTTGAATTCTGAAGGCTGCATTTAGAGTTCGGAGGGCTGATTCGGGAGTTCTAAGGTTTGAGTTTCAAGTTCTAGGGGCTGATTCGGGAGTTCTAAGGTTTGAGTTTCGTGTTCGGGGGGGCTGATTCCAGAGTTGTGAGGGCTGAATTGGGAGCTTTGAATTCTGAAGGCTGCATTTGGAGTTCTGAAGGCTGATTCGGGAGTTGTAAGGTTGGAGTTTCGAGCAGTGGGGGCTGATTCGGGAGTTGTAAGGTTTGAGTTTCCAGCAGCGGGGCTGATTCGGGAGTTTTAAGGTTTGAGTTTCGAGTTCTAAGGGCTGATTCGGGAGTTGTAAGGTTTGAGTTCCGTGCAGTGGGGACTGATTCGGGAGTTGTAAGGTTTGAGTTTCGAGTTCTAGGGGCTGATTCAGGAGTTCTAAGGTTTGAGTTTCCAGCAGTGGGGGCTGATTCGGGAGCTCTAAGGTTTCATTTTCGAGCAGTGAGGGCTGATTCGGGAGTTGTAAGGTTTGAGTATCCAGCAGCGGGTGCTGATTCGGGAGTTCTAAGGTTGGAGTTTCGAGTTCTAGGGGCTGATTCGNAATTCTAAGGACTGAGTTCTGAGGGTTGAGTTTTGAGTTCTGTGTTCCGAGGGCTGATTTCAGACTTCTAAGGGCTGATTTTGGAGTTCTGAGGGATGATTTAGGAGTTCTGAGGGCTGACTTTAGAGTTCTGAGGGTTGAGTTTCGAGTTCTGACCACTGATTTCGTAGTTCTGAAGGCTGGCTTTGGGAGCTCTGAGTTCCGAAGGCTGTGTTTCGAGTTCTGGGGGCTGATTCCAGAGTTCTGAGGATTGAGTTTTCAGTTCCGATGGCTGATTTCGTAGTTCTGAGGGCTGATTTGGGAGCTTTTGATTCTGAAGGCTGCGTTTCGAGTTGTGGAGGCTGATTCAGGAGTTCCAAGGTTTGAGTTTCTTGTTCTGGGGGCTGATTCTGGAGTTCTGAGGGCTGATTTGAGAGCTTTTGATTCTGAAGGCTGCATTTCGAGTTCTGGGGGCTGAATCGGGAGTTCTAAAGTTTGCGTTTCGAGTTCTAGGGGCTGATTTGGGAGTTCTAAGGTTTGAGTTTTGAGTTTTAGGGGCTGATTTCGGAGTTCTGAGGGCTGATTTGGGAGCTCTGAGTTCCAAAGGCTGCGTTTCGAGTTCTGCGGGCTGATTTGGGAGTTCTAAACTTTGAGTTTGGAGTTTTTGGGGGCTGATTCTGTGGAGTTCTGAGGATTGAGTTTCGCGTTTCCGACCACTGATTTCGTAGTTCTGAGGGCTGATTTGGGAGCTTTTGATTCTGAAGGCTGCGTTTCGAGTTGTGGGGCTGATTCAGGAGTTCTAAGGTTTGAGTTTCTTGTTCTGGGGGCTGATTCCGGAGTTCTGAGGACTGTGTTTTGAGTTTTGATGTTTGATTCCGGAGTTCTGAGGGCTCATTTGGGAGCTTGGAATTCTGAAGGCTGCATTTCGAGTTCTAGGGGCTGATTCCAGAGTTCTAAGGTTTGAGTTTCGAGTTCTAGGGGCTGATTCCGAAGATGTGAGGACTGAGTTTCGCATTTCCGACCACTGATTTCGTAGTTCTAAGGGCTGGTTTTGGGAGCTCTGAGCTCCGAAGGCTGCGTTTTGAGTTCTGGGGGCTGACTCGAGAG